AGTGGCAATATTGCAGTAAAAGGAATTTAGGTCTTCAGGATTCAGATTGCGTGAAGTGACCGAGTCATTATTCCTGCCCCTCGGGTCATTTACAATTTTCCAAGCTTCCCTTGATCTATTAGAAGACCTATTTATCCTATTCTGAAAGCAAGTCCACTTGGCAAGCCTGATCGATCTTCTGTAAACCCTTCGGTTCCCATCAAAATAGTTTAAAAATCTTGGATTGTTCATAGAGAATTTTCTGATGTAATGAAGGGAGCGCATATTTTTTCCGGAAGTTCGCAGGCTCTTTGTAAACCAGGGTTTCCTCTTTCGCTTCTTTATACTGACAATAGGGAAGGCAATGTCAAAATTACCCAGCAACATTTGATGAAACTGTTGCAATGGGCTGACAGTAGCCAGAACGTCATTCCATTCCGATCGGTGGCAAACCGAAGAGAATTTAGTAAAGTTTGCCTTAGTATAAAGTCTACCTCGTCAAAACCTACCCTGATCAGCTTCATCGCCAAATGGCAACTGCCTCGTGGTTAGACAAACCGGCATTGATCGTTACACACTAAATTTCAATCTGATTGAAATTGGTGCAGAAATAGTCCAGTATTGAGGCCGAGAATGCGGAAAACAGGGATGCTATTTCTAGTACATTTGTACTAGATCTAGCACAATCAGGTTTCACCTAGCACGCTAGTACCTCTCTCATAAATCTAGTACAATTTGGATTACGAGTCGATTGTCGCTCTTCGCTCTGTAACCGAGTTCTGAGCTCAACTCTCTACTTTTGGGTTGGGTTCCACGTTGCAGGGCTGGGATCACGACGACTGGAATTCTACTTTCATGACGTCACCCGCGACCTATTTCGCGTACAGTACAGGCGATGATGATGGTTGCTAGGCAATGTGATGTCATGAAAGTAGAATTTTACTTGGCGTTTCGAATATGGTTTCGAACGCACACGCACTTTTTTATTCTGTGATTTGACGTGTGTCATGTATCGGGGGTTATTCGGTTATTCAGCCGATCACGGTAATCGGTAGCCGATTTATAACCAGTAGAAATTTATTTATTTCTATCATTCAGGGCCAGTTTCTCAATAGCGAGTCATCCCCGGGTTAAGCATAACTCCATGGTAAACATTGCAACTGGACACGTTTACCTTGGAGTTAAAACCAACCCGGAGGCGACTCGCTATTGAGAAACCGACCCTAAACCAATGATATTTACCCCCAATAAGCAGAGCCTACATTGTATTCAAATTTCAAAATTTGACGCGCTTTCAGCTAGTACACGTGTCTAATTTTTTATCAGTCAGAGTGTGCATAATCTTTGTAAAAACACGACTATCTGCAGCCAGTCCTATAACATCCCTCACAGGCACAATTCCATTAGCAAAATCTGAGACCCTACCACTAAGTGCCCGTGCTACTTTCACCTTACCTCTATGTTTAATGTATGTACAAGTTATCATCAAAATAAAAGTCCTTACTTCCTATAACGGCGTTCAAATGAAAATAAAATCTGAACTTGCTTTCACTGCATAACCTGTCAAACATCATTTTATTAGGTTCATTAATGAAATTATTAGACAATCTATTATTGTTCCAAAGTGGGACGGAGCAAACCACAAGATTAGTATATTCACCCACTGATTTAAGAGTCTGTATAGTTTCTTCCCTAACTAGACGTCCCTTCAATGAATTTGTCACACCAGTCACCAGCCATAACAATCACATACCTAATCCTTCTTATCGAAATTACTCGTATAATTAAGAATATCTCTCACCGACTCATCAAGAAAGGCATTCTGTGTAATCAACGCTGATACAGAAAACTCACGATTTACACAATGATCCATAATATCCCTAAGTCCCTTTGCCAAATTATCACCTACTATAAGTATGTTATTCCTAGGAGGAGTCGATTTAATATGGACTATAGGAAGTGGAGAGTTTTTCAATTCAAAAATCTCACGACGCAGACACTTTGTTTCATTAGCCAACATATCATTCTCCTTTTCCAGGACCTCGATGGAAACTTTCAAGTTGTTGTTGAGTATATGCAACTCCTGCAGGTCTTCCTTTGTCCGCTGTAAATCGTTTTGAATGTGGGAATTACTCTCTGATACCTGAACAATCTCAGCATTCACTTTTGATATGTCCTTCCTGTAGTTCTTAATTTCATCACATTGTTCTTTTTCAAAAGCCTCACGACGCAGACGCTTAGTTTCCTTGGAAAGTTTATCATTCTCCTTTGATCCATAAAAGCTTCAAAAAATATTATTTTGCTCTCGATTTTGCTATATGGGTCATCAACCTACTACATGAACAGCTTTTATCTTAAATAACTGTAGTTCAAAACGTAATTTTAATTATATGAACGAAGTGACAATAGCTCAAAATAATAATTTGGTTAAAACAGACCAGCAATAACTTATTTCGAAACGAATATGAATGAAAATTTGTTAAGGCAGTTTGAGTGCATCCCATAACTACATATATTAAGAATAAAATTGTTTGGTTTCATTAATTCATTAATTTAACAACATTTGTTTATTAAATTGCAGCGGCAGCTGCTGCTCTCACAGCAATATTTATATTTTTATGTGACGAAGTTTGGACCGTTGGGCAAAAAAAAAAGAACTAAAAATCAATTAACCCACCCATGCCTGAAATATGAATATGAATTTAGTATGGGCAAACGATTTTCGATAATGGAATTGATTATTTGCACAATTTTATTGTTTCTCCATTTTGCTGGACTGCTTAATGACCATTTTTCTTCTACAAAAACAAATTTGCATTTCAATGGTTTTCAATAGTCCAGATTTCATCTTTCAATTGCTTCTTCCCATTGTCTTGATGAAAAATTGTACACCATTTTGCCCTTTCAACGAACGAGCGTATTAAGTAGGTATTTAAGGTTTATGATTTTCAAAATGTACACTTGACAACACTTTTATTTATTGTTTCAATACGAGTTGGTGAAACGTGCCCTTTGATAATAATTTCATTTCCTAAAGAGCCAATAATCTCAGCTTGAAAAGGGGCTCAAGCCTATACACATAACGAACAGATGTTGTTACTTATGACAGCCGACAAATTTCAACACGTTTTCGTTAAAACCTAATATTTTTCAAGTACAATTATTTGTTATTGCGTGTTTTTCTCAATACTGCTCAATAAAAATGAGCATTTCCCCAAGTTTATAAACCGTTTAGGAAATAAATAATAAAGATTATTGGCTGAACGTGCTCAATACCTTTAACTTAACAATTGACATAACTAGGATTTTGTTTGTTAAATTTCTGCATTCAATTCTTTTATTTCTCCAATTTAGGTTCCCATTTGCCGTTTACGACTCATAAAATAAGATGGTGACCTAAATCACACACATACTGGGTTTTGATTACATTCAAAGTTTAATATTATAATCCCTATAATATTTCTAGATATTAATATTTAATGGAGAATATAAAATGGAGCAGGGATAATTTTTAATATAATTTTATCAAGTATAAGTTACTCATTATCCTATATCAAACTAGATATACTCAAAATAGATATTTAATTAAAGTACAATTAGCTTTGACGTGATTACAGGATGACACATGACTGATATTTGCCCAATGGCCACAAGCGAGAATAGTGGATTATGCAAAGACTGGTAAACCAAGATATATCTGTTCTAAAATGGCATTATCGGATTCAAATCTATATTACCAACAGATTTAGTGGTTTTTTAGAAGATATACTGCATTGGTAAAAAAAAATAGTTGCCTCAGAATTGCGAGTCTAGGATTAATCAGCTTTTTCCTATATTTGCTTTTAAGAGAAGTAAATAAATATCTAGTTTCTTGTGAGTTTTAGTGATTGCTTTTAGAGTATGTTTTATATAAATTTCTATTGCTGATCGAATGTGGGGTGAGTTACAATTAAAGGTTCTCACCTAAAAAATATAAAATCTATGTCTCTGCATAATGAGTCATATCAACAATATTATTATGATCATGCATAGAAGAAAATCAAGTGATCAACTTTGCTTAGAAATGATTGGGTATTTCAAGAATAATTTTTATTTTATGAAAAATTAGTGGCTTACCATGAATATCCGCTAAAATAGACAGGTCAAATTCCATATGATCACCAATGGTGGAAATTTAAAAAAAAAATGAGGAACATTAAAAAATTCCTCTTGATACATATTACATGTATGCCAAATTTCATTAAAATATCCAAAGTGGTGTTACAGGTATTTATAACAAATAATTATCTATTTTTGAAATATTATCACCCCGTATTCAAAAAGTTGAGACATTTAGGACATACGTTCAAATGAAGATTTCTTCTTCAATGGACCCAAAAATTGCCTTTTCAAATATTGACATTCAATTAGAAAACACCTTGTATACATTTGATTTTTCTTGAGCGATCTCATTAGTCTCAATCAGTCAGTCGAAATTTTATCTATAAGATTTGATTTTCAATTCAAAACATATTCAACTTTGCCCAGACAGAAATATTTCAACAAAGTTACTCTTAAAAAGTTGAGACCATTACAAAATGTTAAATGTTAACATTTTTCGAACGAATTCAGCGTAACTAGTTCTTAGAAATGATATATTTTTGAATTTAACAAGGAAAAAGAAGTTCTAGATATAAATAAGAAGGTACTATCGAAGAAGTTATTGGTTGGTAATTGGATTTCCTACGAGGAGCCTTACTGGGAACTGGCAGAAATCACAAAAATGATGAAGTTACAAACTACTACATACATTTTTCTCATAACAACTAAGTATATTTTATTTTTCTGAAATTCGTAGAAGTTTTAGTGTGAAAACTCTTACATGAGAAAAGTTTCTTTTCAGTTACATATTTGAAATTGTTACATCTGAATTTAGTATTTTGAAATTTTCAATAAATCAACCAACAATAATTATTTGAAATGTGAATTTGTTTTAAAAAACGTATCACTTGAAAAATTTCATTACCAAAGCAAGTTCTTACCTTTTGAAAAATTCGCACCAGAAAAAACAGTAATTTCTTTATAGCAGCAAAAATAACACCAACCAACTGCAAAAATGTCAATTACGAAAACGCGCGACTGAAAAGTTTTGTTTTCAGACTTTGCGTGAAATATTTACGCGGAAGAGAAATTTCAGTTTCTAGCTACAGATTGTACACGGAGCACACGTCGAATATCCCATCGCGCGCCACTCTCTCCCATTTTATAACCGCTTTTCTGGTGCTAGGGGGGTTGAAATTCGGAGCGGGGACAACCATCTGTTATCTTAGGCTTTGAATTGGTCAGATTTTATCAGTTGGGACACCCCACGCGATTTTCAGCAACTGTATCTGCATTACTTAAGGCTTTATGTACAAAAAATATCTGTTGAATACCAACACACACACAAATACTTCCTAAAGGAAAATTGAATTGAGGTGGTCAATTCTAAACTCAAACAGTTCTTTAAGATGTGAGACTATGCTGAAGAGTATTTGTTTGATTTTTTTTGTAGTGGAAATAGTTAGAAAGAAGAGCTGAGGTAAGATTGGTATTGAATAGCCCTATAAGTTGTTGAAAAAAAATAGACAAAAATGTGTCAACCAAATTCTACATAAGTGATTGTATGTTCAAGTACTCGAAATTTTCAAAGTTCTTCATCGTCATTTTTCTTTTACATAGTTTTATTAATTCTGAAACTGCTATATCAAGATAAAATTGAGCATTTTCCTCCAAAGCTCAAAGCGTTTGAAGAAGTGACGTAAGTGTATTAGTTGGAATGAAACTCCAGAACTGATGCAGTATGAATCTATTCATAGAATAAATCTATTCAAGAAATAACTGATTATTATTATGTATTGCCAAGACGACACTAGGCCACTGCAAGTAGCTTGTGTGAACTTGACAAAGCTGTTAACATTTTGATAACAACTACATAATAATTTAAGCCTACCATAGTTGACAACACTTATTCTAATATCACACAGTAAGTGTATTTCTTTTGTCCTTGTTAATAAAGTATCGAAATATTTATAGAAAGGTAATCAAAGCTGCAAGAGAACTTTACTTTAGCAAATGAATTTCCAATTCTAATAACACTTAAAAGCATGGTCTATAATTAATGAAATAATCCATCCAACCTGTCTCCTAACAATCTAAATATTTTCTTTTGCTCTATAGCTGGAGCTCTTTCGTTCCAGCTCGACTCCTGGGTCAATCCCTTAGACTATTTGACAGACAAAAATGTCTCAAATTCCTTCTTCTTGGCAGCAGTCGTTGTTCCTGAGATCAAAGAAACCCGTATAACCTTCAAAAACGAAAATTCCTCGGGCTATGATGACATATCCATCTTAACGATGGGGGTTTTCGTGCGCTTGGAGATGCTATAAATGATAGATTCGTTTGACAAGGGTAGGTATATTTCCTAATATCCTTAAGCATGCAGTGGGAAGACTCAGACTCTCCAGCAAGTTTCTGTTCTATTTCTCTTTTCAGTTCACTTGGTAAGCTAATTGAGAAACTGGTCAAAATTAGAGTTCTGATATTAAGTTTTAATATTTTATTATTTAAGTTGATATGCTTTGTTAATGAAAAGTTTTTTCTGAATAATAAAGTACTTTTTAATTTGATTTGATAAGATGTAACTTTTACCCCCAGTTTCACAATGTGTAGTCACCAAATGGTTAAACGAAGACCAAATGTTAATGAATAAAAAGTGTTTCACATCATCTGGTCAAGCACCAACTTCCAGTTAACTTCAAGTTAAGTTGACCGTGAGAAAATTATGTGGTTAAAATTAAACCAGAAAAGACCTAACCATAATTTTGGCTAACGTCTTGTCAAGTCTTACCTTGTTGATGGGTTGTTTTTCTGTGTCGTATAATTTTTTTGTTTATGTTCAAACTGAATATGGATTTTAGTATATGAAAAAAATGCATCGATAATGAAGATCAAGGTGGACGACGTGCAAAGATAGTTAAACCTAGGACTAATTTCTTTAAAGAATATGATGAGAAAGATTCCTTTGATCGGTTAAGACTTGGGTTTAGATTATCACCAAGAACAGTGGAAAGGATAAGTGAAGACTGTAAAGAAATTACAGATCATTTCTGTCATTATTTGTCAATCTTGACAAATTTATCTGCGATTTATTACACAGAAATCGTAAAATCTAAAAATTCTGCAGGCAACCTGGGAAAAATTAAAACAAAATATTGATTAATTGAGCAGCACATTTTTTTTTTGCTGTTAAACGCTATGGGTGGGTATTATAAAACTGCTTTGACAGTTAACTTGAAGTTAACTTTTTGAATTACATGTAATTTCAGAAGTTAACTCTCAAAGTAGTTTTATAATACCCGCCCTAGATGCCTTAACCATTGGTTACTGTAAACGAATTAATTAAGTGACCAAGAAGGTCACTAGACATTGTGAAACTGGGCGTTAGACCCAGTTGTACAAAAGTTCAACTGAACTCGACTGGTACTTGAGCTTCCCCTGTGGCTTTCCCATTTAAAATATATTTCTGTCAGCTGTTAATCAATTTCTATCAATTTTGACTGCAATGCATTTCAAATGGGGAAGTTCAAGTACCAGTCGAGTTCAGCTGAACTCTGTTTTGAACCAAGATTGTACAACTGGGCCTTACGTGTGGAACATCGAGGGAATCTCGACACAAATTTCCCACTGTAATCACTAACAATAGTAGGCAAAAATACAGAAGAACCACTAGCCAAAAAAAAAGGTCACAGAAGGGACTGCAATCGAAGAAATTTGGCCCAGAAGCTCCCTAATCAATAGCAAAATTAATCGAAACATGCGAATCGTGTACAAGGGTATTATGAACTCTCAAAGGAACCTGACTTGTAAGAATTTGTAAGTTAGGGAAGATATTTCATTTGCGAGTGCCCAAAAGTTACATCTAGTTTATGGTAGCGGAATCTCAATCCAAAGCCACAAGCAAAGGCAAACTCGTGTCCAAGATTTGTGAACTGTTTTCCGAAAATTAGAACCATTGTATTTTCAACAGTAGGTACCTACTTACATCGGAAATTGTGGATATCAAGAAATAGCTGACAAAATAATTATTATTATTCTTTATAAATATTATCCTATTTATGCCCTCATCAAGTGAATATTACTACAAAATTGCAATACTTCAATTGCTATTTTTAACCAACTAGATTATACCAAATATATCGTTTGACTTTTCATATAATAGTCCAACTCACACAAATGGATTATTGCTGAGAAAACTGTCCTGGAGCCAATCAAGAGCCGGTAATAGTCAAAATTTAAACTCTCATCAACTCTGGATTCCCTAGAGAATTGTTCTAAGGGCAGTCAAGACTCAAGAGCCGATAATAATCAAAATTTCGATTACTCATTAGCAGTTCTTGAGTTGATAATAATCAAAATTCAATGATCAAGCAGATGTTCGGAATTATAAAATTTATGTGATCAAGAAGAAATGGGAGAGATTTTTGATACTGAGGTTAGAGGTTAGAGGTTGATGTTACACTCATGTGATTGCCGTCAAAATTCACATTCGTAAAAAAAGGTGCTTTACGCACGTACTGCGTACAAAATTCTTTCTACTACCAATTAAATATCTGGAAAAAAAATAGAGTTAGACAAATACTTTACGCACTAGTGCATGAAGTAATTTACCAGAAAAATACTAAATTGACAGTGTCGACATCTGTCATTGAAATTACTTCAGGCACTAGTGTGTAAAATGAATTACTTTAGGCACTAGTGCGACAAGTGAAATTTTACGTCTTTTGATAAGTGCGTAAAGTGAGTACTTTACGCACGGTAGTAGAAATAAGAGGTTTTGTGGAAATATGGACATTTCCACCCTAGTCTCGGGTGGAAATGGTACTGGAAGTTATAAACGATACCAATATACACCGTTTAGGGATCTTCACTTGACTTGCAAATCACTTCGACGGTGGTTTAAAGGGGTAAAACTAGTTATTGCGATCCATGAAAAAAAGGGTTTTTATGGAAATATGAACATTTCCACCCTAGTCTCGGGCACAAATGGTACAGGGTGATCTATTATAAATGTCAACCCCTATTAACTTTTTCATTTGACGTTTTTGACAGAATTGTCGAATACAAAAGTTTAAGGAAATTGTCAAAAGTTTTTACCCAAAGGCGATTTCGCCTCAGTTTGGTACCCCAGTTTGGTCTGTCAAAGAGGTACCAATCAATTTCCGATGGGAGAATAATGCCGTCACGGCAACTTTGGTCTGTCAAATGCTATACCGCGGTTTGTAACTGGGTAGTGGAAGTTTGGTAGCTTTCTGTTTCACTTTTCTAACTTCTATTCTAAATAAACATGTCAAAGTCAAAATATATATATATATAGGATTACCTAATACTTTTACCTGACACTCAACGCGTTACCAGCAACACCACTCCTCCTTCGGAGTCGTGGTGTTGCTGCGTAACGCGTTTCGTGACAGGTAAAAGTATTATCCGGTAATCCTGAAACCTCTGTATAAATGTGCACTTTTACTGTTAATCAGACATTATCAAACTTACCGATAATAACGGCGAATTATCTATATTATCGTATACGTAACTTTAGGACATTTTCACATACAGGGTGGGGCACGAAAAACTTCTTACCCAGGTTTTCTTAGGTGTTAAGTGATTAATTAAAAATCACTCGAACACATTTTATAGGTATTTTCACCCCCTACCTGTCAACCCCTAAGTGACAGGTACCCCCAAGATTTCAAATAAAGAGGGGGGTCGACTGATATGTCATTTCATAGCTATTTTTATGAAGATGATATCCCCAAAGTTTCAAGTTGCTAGTGTTTACCCTTCCAGTACCTACCATTTGTACCCGAGACTAGGGTGGAAATGTCCAAATTTTCACAAAAACTATTTTTTTAAATGAACCCAATTACTAGTTTCACCCCCTTAAACTATCCTCAAAATTGTTCCTTATAGAAATTTTCTGCTACAAGCTTGTCTTCTATATTGTTTTTTTTTGTCCATCAGCTTTGTAATTTCTCTTTTGTGTGCGTTCTTCCTTTTGAAAACGTTTGAGCCTTTTTGTTGTTTTATCAGTTTTTCGATTTGTGCTTCTTGGTATAATTTTCAATGTCTTGTTCTGTCATCCTTCTTGCTATTTTGTTAGTCTCTCTGTATTCTGGTGTATCTTTTTTCCCTTGTTTTATG